TCTGGTGCAGAGATGCAGGCCTGGAAGAAACAGGGTGCTTTTAGAAGGACTATTTATACAAATCTATATCTATATATGTGTGTGTGTGTGTGTTAAATCGGGTATGTAAGAGCTGTACATCTTCTCCTGACAGTAAGGCACTACTGCCTTAAAATTTTATCTAAACCTGGCTTAAAGTAGCCYGCACAGAGGAGATTGGGGGATGGGGAAGACCAAGTGAACAGGAAACCAGAACTTCAGGTTTTGTCAGGCCTTTGCTTAGGCTGTGGGTCAAACTTTCCAGCTTTCTCCATAATGGGTATAAAGGGCAGACATCTACATTTTAAAGAAAGTTAATAGTTCTCTTTGAACAACTTGACCCCAGAAGTTGGGGCCTCCTTTGAGCAGCCCCCTGAACAGGGTGCTGCCTCTCCCCAGAGCTGGACCAATTTTCCATGTTTTGAGGCAATCCTCCCTTTTGCTTCAAAAYCATCTGCAAACGATGCATTAAGTATCCATTTGCCAACACTATAATGTGTCTAAAATTTGCTTTCAATGGCCTGTGGGGAGACGCTTTGGYTCCAGGCAGCTCTCAGTACTGTGAAGTATTTTCTGCCCCACATCAGGGGATGGACACGATCCCCAAGTGTCTGCAGCCCTCTCAGGAATGTCCTTGGGGTCTACCCAGCTTTGTTGGTTTCCCCCTTGGTGTCCCTAGTAAATGACAGTGTTGGTGACAAATCAGTGCATGGAGAATCAAGTAAATGTCTTCAGCTGGAGCTCTGGTCTCTTGTGGAAGTAGCTGGTGCTACACATGTGTTACAAGCAGCACCTGGAGCCCATCCTCTAAGCACGGCTTTGAGGGGTGTGTGGACGGTGGAACGGTCCTTCCCAGGTGAGAAGGGCCATTGTGGCCTTCAGATGGGTTTCTCATAGCTGCTAATTAGTAGCTTTAAGACCTTAATGATGCAACCTGAATCCTTGCTGCTGGGGAGCAGCTGTGGTCTTGCAAAGGGAAAGCAGGTGCTCAGGCTGCTGGCTGTAACAGGCTTAGAGCTGAGAAGGCCTGGGAAAGCGGAGCAGGAGGGTCTGGTTGAGCAGTTTCTTCCTATTCTGCTTTTGAAGCAGCTGGTCTGGCACAGAAATGGCCTGCGTGCAAGAGCCTCCCGTTGTCTGGCTGCTGGGGACCACCTTGTCGTGGAAACCAGGCCACGATGGGGCCTTGCAAAGCCCCTGTTTTCACAAACCTTTACTTGGGGTTTGGGACAGCCGGGAAATCACTCTATGTGAGTTTGTGACTTGAGGAGATGGAAGAGGGGCAGGGGAAGAGTGCCCATGTGCAAAAGTAATCCTGGCATTCCTGGGCTTAAGTAGACTTCCTTCTTTTGGAGCTGAAGAAACAAGGAGCCGCTTCTCTCTTCAGTAGGCACATGAGAGAAATGCACGGGTTCAAGCCATGGACTGYAACTTGGACCTCATTTGCACTGCTAGCGCTTCCTGGGGTGGAAGGCATAAGAGATGTCTACCTCTCTCCTGGAGATTGGCCTGGTTTGTCACTAGCATTCCTCTCTGGGGAGGTTCCACCAGCTGCCTGCAGCTCCCAAGGACAAAAGGGAAAACATGCCCAATTAGCAGGAACTGTGTATTAAATCAACACGACCTGGGGTTCAGGTAGGTGCGGCTGYGAGGTGTCGGATAGCAGGTTTGTGYTGGGACTTGAGCTGCTGGTGTCCTGTTCGTTGAACAAAGCCCRTGCTTGTTCCTGCTGCTGTGGCTTCCCCTTTGGAAAGGTGAAACTTGGAGGGGAGTGGGGAAGGAGGAGGGCGGAAAAGCCGTTCCCAGATTCCAGCCTGGGACTTCACCAAGCCTTGGGCTCCAAGCATGGTTCTGTKTGTGTGTACCCCCTCCAACCTCCGCAGAGGTGTCGTGGTGGCATAGCTGTGTGATATGTATGTCCCTATGGGTCTCTCTTCCCCTTTACTGTTTCAGGGACTGACAGGTTATGCAAGAGCTGGAGCAGGATCCAGGTAAATACTTGGATGTGCTCGTGTCGGTGACTGCCAGACAGCAGGATGATCTCATCTGCTTGCAGCAGAGATGAACGATCGCAGGGGCTTCTGGAGAAGAGCCAGCCCCAAACAAGGCTGGTGCAAAAGGGTTCAGGAGAGCAAGGAGATGCTGCTACCGCTGCTCTTGTAATTGCAAAGTATTTTAGCCTCCCTGGGATATTTTATCCATCAGCCCTGAGTCTTGTACACCTTTCCTGGAGGGATTTTTCTTGCCAACAAAAATGGGAGGAGGTGGAAAAACAAAATGCAAAATGTTTGTTAGCCACGCTCAAGAAGAAAAAGAAAAAAGAGAGCTGGCCTGGGAAGGAGTCGGACATAAATCCCGGAGATGAAATGCGAGGTGACTGCTCTTGTTTACTGGCTGTGTTTACGCAAGCCCAGCTGCTGATTTATCCTCTGRCAGCGGCTGCTGGGGCGCCCAGGGCCTCTCTGGAGGGCTCGGCCGAGCCGCGGGATGTTTCTGATTGAGGCTTCAAAGGCGCTGGAACAATGCGGCCGCGCACCCGAGGCGCTGCCGGAGCCGGCGGCATGCCGGGGAGAGGACAATAGCCGGTCCCGCCSGAGCGCCTGTGTGCCGCGAAGCCCCCCGCTCCCCTGGAGAGGCCCCRGCGCCACCGGGGAGCGTTGTGCGCGTTGTGTTGCCCGCGGAGATGGAGCGCAGCCGGCATGTGGCCGCCGCAGCTCCGGTGGGGATCGGAGCAGAGCCCCCTCCGGCACGGAGCTCGCCCTCCTGCCAGGCCCAGGGTGGCTGCGGGCTGCTGGGCTCGTGTCCCGAGGGGGCTCATGGTGGTGCCCGAGGTGCCATGCTGGAACTCATTCCTGCCTTGCTTTATTCTTTTCTTCCTGACATTCTTCTACTTGCCCCAATCCCTCCAGGACACAATCCCGGGATGGTCTGACTGGATGTGAGCCCAGGGCTGGGCCCTGTGGGAGGGCAGCACTGTTGCTGGTGGGCTGCCCAGCATCCTGCATGGGCAGAGGGACCTGTGGCGAGYCCCTACCGTGGTCCATAACATGGGAGGGCACCAGGGCCCCTTGTTGCAGAGACTGCCAAGGCAGGGTGAGTGTCCGGGGGCAAGTGCTCTAGGTAGCCAGCAATGGTCCTCCTAGCAGGACCTTGTTTTCTTCTGTCATGTTGGCTTAATTTGCATTGCAGTAGCTATAGTTTGTCCTTCAGATGTTATGTTCCCGCTGGGAATTTGGCATTTAAGGCTTGACTTCTCTGGAGAGGCCTTTGGCCAGTGTCCACTGCCAACCCCTGCCTTGTGGTTAATGAATACCCACTCTGAGCATGGCTCTGGAGCCTGTGACCCTTGTGGACAATCAGTACTTAAGTTTACATGGGTTCAGGGTCACCAGGTGCCTGCGTGTGGTAGCAGCTAGCTCGACTGTGTAGGAAGATTTTTACTATGTACCATTGGCAAGGAGATGACTTCACATAAAGCATTTGTGGCCCAAGGTGCAGTGGTGGGGGCTCCAAAGGCAAAAGATTTCAAGGGCTGCTGTAAGGCCAAGCCCTTCGCATATACGGAGGTGTTCCTGAGGAGCCTCAATTCGCTGGAAATTTCCATGGTAAAAGGGATCTTCCCAAGCTCCTGAACAGGCTACTGGTGACAAGTCCTGACCAAGGAAGGGATGCTCTTTTGCTGCTCCATATGTGGCCACTCTCACTCCTGTGAACACGTATCACCACAGTGTAGGAGATAAGAACAAGAGTTGTCCACTCAAAAATGGAAAGTGTGCTGCAAAGCTCTCATGTTGCCTGCCCTTCATAGTCATCAATAAGGTGCGTGTCATCGTATCCTTTTCACTCTAAAGAAAAAGTGGAAATTCAGGTCTGAGGAGACACTGTGCCAGCAGGTATTGGTGCAAGGGCTTTATTTTGTACTGAGTAAGGGCTGGCTTTATGTTACTGAGTGAGAGCTGGTGGAGCCATTTGTGCTTACATGGCTGCTATAAGGAGGTGATGATACAAACTCTTAATATATGGTCTTTGCCATGATTATTCAGAAATGCTGTCACAATTATCCCAGTCAGGAAAAGACCCCATTGCTGCAACTGCCATGGTCCAAAAGCTGTACTCACCTACTGCCAAAATGCTGGCCACAAGCTGGGCAGATGCCATGTAGCCACCAAGTCCAAACCATTTTGAGCCTCACTGGCTGTTGAGCCACAGTGGCTGCAGCACATTTGTCACCAGAGGATGTTATCTGGATGCCAGCTCTTCCCATGATGGCCCATGTAGGCCTTGAGATTGTCAGTGTCACTCAAGCATGACAAGTGGCCACTTTGGTGTAATCCTCAGGTATGGGGTTGCTACTGGTCACTGGGCCGCTGTCCTCTTGGACTATTTGCTGACCCATGCTTCAATGATTAACCCTTTTTCCTTGCATTTTCATTCTGTCCTTTGCCTTGGCTAGCTGATCACAAGGTGGATGAGTCCCCTCTAGATAGTTTCCTTGGCAGGCTCTGCAAAGGAAGAAGCATCCTCCTCCTATCTGCGTCTATCCATCTTATGTTCCCCCATMTTTGGCCCGTGCAGCTCTCCAGGCCCAGAGGAAATGGGAATAACTTCGCTCCAACGCTTGATTTCCGAATTTCTGCATGCTGACCGCCTGACTCCTCCTCCCGTTACAACTGCAGGATTGCTAAATCCAAAGAGCACAAGCCGCTCATGGAAACAGCTCCTGCCTCTGGCCCTGCCTCCTGTGCCACGGTGCATAAAAAGAGCTCAAAAAACTGCTCCCAAGCCTCCCTCTCCCCTCCAGGCACTTGGCAGCACCAGGGAAGCCCCAGGTTTTCCTCCTCGTCCAAAACTCTTGCATCCAGGGGCTGCAGGGAGCAGGTAAGCTTGGAGTAGAGGGACACATCGCAGGGAGCCTGGAGATCTGGGAAGGGGGACGGCCTCGCTGGGGCCGTCGCGGGCTCAGCGGCCGCTCCGTCACCCCGGCGCAGGGCGCGATGGTGCGGCGCGTGGCCGTCGTGGGCGCCGGCGTGAGCGGGCTGGCTGCCATCAAGTGCTGCCGGGAAGAGGGGCTGGAGCCCACCTGCTTCGAGAGGAGCGAGGACATCGGCGGGCTGTGGCGCTACGCAGTGAGCTTGGAACGTGTTTCCCTTGGTGGCTCTGTGCTTTTTTTTTTCCTGGGGGGGGCAGAGGGAGATGTTTCCTGGAAGAGTCTGTGTAATTTTGAACCCCCAGATGCTTTTGGGGCTTGGATTTTGTTGCCTTGCGCTGGAGCAATCCACCAGTGGCAGCCCATGCATCTTCCTGCTAACTAGAAAGAAAAGAAATGACTTTGAACTCTGCATCTGTTCATAGAAAGAGGTGTTTCAGCTTTAAAATAGTTGCCGTGTGTGTGCAGGAGCATGCCGAGGAGGGCCGAGCCAGCATCTACCGCACGGTCTTCACCAACTCCTGCAAAGAGATGATGTGCTACCCTGACTTCCCCTTCCCTGATGATCACCCCAATTACATGCACAACACGAAGCTCCAGGAGTATATCTGGAAGTTCGCCGAGCACTTTGATCTGCTCCGGCACATCCGCTTCAAGGTAGAAAACCTGGAGCACGGAAGGGGCAAGGGCAGTGAGTGGTTGGGCAGGGGGATGCCACTTTGGGGTCTCCTTGCCACAGGGGGAAAATCCTTGGAGGAAGAGGTCCTGGGGAAAGGTTGTTAGATGGGGCCTTCTCAGCTTTTCAGGGGTGGCGTTAAATCACCAGCCAGCATGGGAAAAGTGCCGCTTCTGCACTATCTTCTCTAAAAGATTGTGGTTTGGGGAACTTTCTCCTRCCTTTTGTTTTGTTATTTTTTTCCAATCAGTATCAAGGATTCAAGTTACAAAAGCTATAATGAAAAGGAAGTACAGTTAAAAGGAAAACAGTCTTATGTAAGCAATCTTAAAAACAAGCCACAGACTTATAGCAAGTTTTAGTTCTTCTGTATCTTTTTTTCTTATTTCTGGTGACCACTTGCCAAGAAACAGCCATTTCATGGCTTGGTTTGTGCTGACTTTGAAGCCGCTCTCATGAACAAGTCTGTATGTTCCCCCAGGGCAACTGGCACAAAATTAGAGGCCAATGTCCCCTGGGCTCCTCGGGACCCCCGAATCTCACAGGAGCATTAACTTTCCCAAACCTTCCTATGTGCACCACAAATTTGCATGGATCTGTTTGTTCATTTTATTTAAGACTCTGGTCACCAAAATAAAAAAACGCCCTGACTTTTCTGTTACGGGCCAATGGGATGTGGTTACGGAAAAGGAAGGGAAGAAAGAGACGGAGGTGTTTGATGCTGTTATGATCTGTTCTGGGCATCACGTCTACCCAAATTTCCCCGCTGCCAGCTTCCCAGGTAAGCTGTGCGTGCGTGAGCCACCTAACATGACACAGCCAGGAAAGTCTCTTCTATCAAAGTCCTTTTGRGGAGGACATGTTTTTACTGGAGACATTTCTAATCTTTCCATGAAAAAAAGAAAAAGATTTTTTGGGGTGTTTCCTGTAACAGGATTTTTTTCCTAAAGAGATTTTGTGAAGCGCTTTCTTTTTGGCATTTTCCTGTGACTTCTAGTGCAGATGTCATGCACTTTAGCAGAGAGCCTTGGCCTCTCAGCTGCCAGTCACGCCTTTGGGGACAAGTTCCCTGGCAATGAACATGTGCTTTTGGAGGCTCTTTGGAGGACAGAGGATGTTGGCACCCCAACCTCATCTCTCCATTGCCAACTGTGCAGGAACCTTGTCGGCCAATGCTCAGAGCCCTGGGCTTTGACCTGCAAGGACATGGTATGCGTTACTCACAGGGCACCTTCTTTTGCTGCAGGTCCTTGGCAGTGATGCCCAAGTGTCTCAACATCCTTACCCATGTCTGTAGCTGAAGCCTTGATAGGCCCTTCTTGGTAGCAAAGATGACTGGGTCAAGGTGAAGCAAAGGGTCTCATCTAATATTATTTTGGTCCTTGTTGTTAGGAGCTCTGGTAATCAGAGCTGTTTCTCCARATCGTTGACAAATTGTGCTGTCTCCATCCTGGGAGATATTCAACACCTGAGCAGACATAGTTCTAGGTGACCCTAGTTGAGCAGGAAGATGGACCAGAGGATCTCCAGGGGTACCTGCCATCCCCAACTACTCTGTGGTAGTCCGGTTGCCTCATTTTAATTTCTGGGGTGAATTAATTTTCTTTCTGTTCTTTCACGCAGGCATACAGAAGTTTAAAGGCAGCTATTTCCACAGCCGAGAGTACAAGGAGCCAGAAAAATTCAGAGGGAAGAAAGTGCTAGTGATAGGCTTGGGCAACTCAGGCTGTGACATTGCTGCAGAGCTCAGCACTGTGGCATCACAGGTAYGGAGCCCACGGCCTTGTGGTGAGGGAGAGAAAACTTGGAGTCAAGAGGGGTCACAGCAGGGCTGGGAGAATCCAACCATATGCCCATGCTCCTTGCTATGGCCTCCAAGAGCTGCCATAGCAGTCACCTGCTCTCATCTATTAGCCCGGCTATTTCTGCAGGTCTACGTGAGCTCCAGAAGTGGTTCGTGGGTAATGAGTCGTGTTTGGGAGCACGGTTACCCATGGGATATGAAGATCGTCACTCGCTTCCAGACCTGGCTGGGGACCGTCCTTCCCAGGGCACTCAGTGACTGGTTGTATGTGAGGAGAATGAACTGGCCATTCAAGCATGAGAACTTTGGCCTCATGCCACTAGATGGGTGAGTGTATGCGGTCTGTGGAGGGGGTGGCATTAGGGCGTATGTCCTCATGGCCCTGGGTTGACCACAGCACCCATCTCCTTTACCTTTTCTCCTTTGATTTGCTTCATACTCTTCCCAGGTGCAGGGCTTAGCAAGTCTCTCCTGGCTGTTCCCAGGAGCTCCTCGTGTACAGTGGCCCCTCTGCCTGTTTCCTTGTAGGACTCTCCGTAAAGAGCCAGTGTTCAATGATGACCTCCCAAGCCGCATTGCATGTGGTGTTGTGGTGGTGAAGCCTAATGTGAAGGAATTCAGAGAAACATCTGTCTTGTTCCAAGATGGGACCGTGCAGGAAGATGTGGATGTGGTCATCTTTGCTACTGGCTACAGCTTTTCCTACCCTTTCATGGAGGATGACTCCATCATCAAAGTCAAGGACAATGTCACTCTTTACAAAAGCATCCTCCCTCCTCAGCTGGAGAAGCCAACCTTGGCAGTCATTGGACTAGTCCAATCCCTTGGAGCCATCATCCCTACATCAGATCTCCAGTGTCGCTGGGCAGTTAAGGTGTTTCAGGGTAGGTGGAAGGGCACATCCTGGGCAAATGGTCTAGCATTTCCCAGTAGTGGTTTAGTCAGGAATTACCCGCTTTAACAACAAATACAATGGAGAAGATTTTTTTCTTTTTTTTTTTATCCCATCTGTCCATGGGTGACTATTTTTATTTCCCTACCGAGGTATCCAATTGCCAAAAATAGATGCAGTGTTTTGTATGTCTACAGTCTAATGATGGAAGGAGAGAAGTCAAGTGGAAGTTTCTGTCTCAAGGGAAGACTGATAATAGCTTTTTGTGCATATCTGTTTATTTTTCCCCCCTATGAATTATTATTTCACAGTTACAAAGCCACTTTGCTGGTCTCTGTGTGATGTGTTTCCTTGTCCCATGGGAGTGGTCTTCTTTTCAGACTGCTGCCAATGGCGATAAGGTCCTCACGGTGGAACAGTAGAGCCCTTTGGGCATTGTCACACATACTAAAGGATGGGAAGGAGTCAGTGTCCTACACAGACAGCTTCTGTAGACTCCTGGTTTTGTCATGTCCCTGACACCCAAGATTGGTTGGAGCCCAAGGGGAGAGAAGCCCTGAAGCATGCAAACCCTGTTGGTGTGGGAGGGATCTCCCAGGCATCTGCTCTCTTGGCCAACGCTCTTCCTGCTGTTTCCAGGGCTGTGCAAACTGCCTTCAATGAGTGAGATGATGGACGACATTGATGAGAAGTCAGGGAAGAAGCTCAAATGGTAGGTGCAGCTCACAGGGACCTCAGCGGGGAGGGGACCAAAAGTCATGTCTTTGTATCAGCCACTTGTGCCAGCTTCTTTCTAGGGGGTTCTCTGAAATGCCCTGTTCAGGTGTTAATTCAGTTGTCCCTCTGCAATAGAGGAAACCCAGCTCAGCTCTTACTGGAGTTGGTGGATATGTTTCTACTTGGAGCTATAAGTTTCTACCCCTTATAGGGCCTCAGTCATGCAAATTTGGGTGGAAAATTTCTGATGAAAAGATTTCTTGTTCAAAAACGCTTGTTTGTGTTATTGAGCCTGTTAGTTTGAAAAGTGTTCTGTGCTCAAACGCAAGGAGAGTGAAGCTCCAGCGAAAAAGAGAACATTTCTGTCCGTTTTCTTCAAACTGACACTTTAGTTTCATAGATTACATTAAAATGCCTTGTTTTCCCCCACTCTGGGTGTACCTCATGCTATAGCCAAGCAATATATTGTTTAGAATATACAAAGTAAAAATAAGAATATAAGCAGTCAAAACTGAACCACGATCCAACCAATGTTTTACTTTGTTTTTAGAAACAGTTGCGTTGTAGGAAGTTTCAACATGCAGCATTGTACTGTGATCCACGTTTCTTCATTAATGCCGAGTAATGAGGTGCTCCCAGATAGCTTGGGGATGGGTAGAGCAAGGGATAGATGCTGCTGTCTCCACTATAAAGGACGTGTGTCCCATCTGCTCTTTTGGGGACTCCCAGCAGGAATAGATTCTCTGTCTCTTCCACTGATAAAAAGAAAAAAGAGATTTTGAAAATGAGAGAGGGCTCCTTTTGTGTCATGCCAAGTTCCTGCACTGATTTGACCCTGCATGGAGATGTTTTTTTTCATTCCTACTAAGCCTAAGCAAGGAATTTGAGTGGAATAAGAGGTTAGATTTTACTCCTCTGCTTTGACTTAAATTGCCTTTAAAATACAAGGAAAAGAGTTAGTCAATGATAAATGCCAATTGGCGCRTGGATAGGGGTCTCCTTTCACATGATGCAGGAACTTACCTTAGCATCCTTAGACAATTTCTACTCTCCATTTGAGCTAGATCCCACTGCAGAGCTGGAAGGTGTGAAATGAAAGGACACCACGAGAGTGGCCCATTGGACCTAGCACGGGGACAGAGGTCACAAAGCAAGCTGGCTGAGTGGCAAGGGCTGATTTCTAGCCCCAGCATGGTCCCATGCCTCTTCTTCACTCTCCATGACCACCTCTTCTTTTTGCTACCACAGGAAGGCAGGAGGATCTTGGGTTTAAAAAAAAAAAAAAAAAAAAAAAAGGGAAAAAATATGAAAAGTATGTCCAGTGTAGCCCTATATATATATGTTCCTCTCTCCTCAAAGGTATGGGAGCAGCAACACTCTGCAGATGGATTATGTCACCTACATGGATGAGCTGGCCACTGCCATTGGTGTAAAACCCAACCTGCTCAAGCTGCTGTTGACAGACCCACGGCTGGCACTGGAGGTCTTCTTTGGCCCTTGCACTCCTTATCAGTTTCGGCTGATGGGGCCAGGAAAGTGGAGCGGTGCCCGGAGAGCCATCCTAACACAGTGGGACCGGACGCTGGGCGTCACACGGACACGGGTGGCCCCTACCACCTCTGTGACCTTCCCCATTCTGGTGATGCTGAAGATGCTCTTCCTCCCGCTACTCCTTGTGGCCATCCTCGCTGCCTTTTACTGTTAGGAGATGCTTGATGAGGAGCTGCCATGTGGCAAGTGGTGTTACCCTGAAACAGTCCATGAAGTCTTGACCAATGGATAAAATGCCATCTCTATGGCATAAAGTCTTCTTAGACTTGGAAGCCTTCTCAGCTGGGTCTAGGGCAGCGTGTAAATCCTGAGTCTAGTAACGCTGGTTATTTTATTCCTCAAAACATGGCCCAGAAATGGGTTCACAGGTTTTAAATCTCTCCATCTCCCATCTCCTTTCCCAGTGAAAGCCTGGAGCTAACATGTTTGTTTTGCTGTGAAGCCTGTCCTTTGGGTGAAACTAGCTCAGTTTAGTCGGTACCTCTGATAAATAAATGTTCTCATAAATAAATACCCATATTTTTGTTTTTTCCTCCATCAGGGAAAGATATCCAAATACAAATGTTCATCTGAAAAAAAAAAAAACTACATCAAAAGGATATTTCTATGCAAAAGATAAGGTTCTTTTGGCAAATAATGCCCTCCCAGCTTATGTAAGTTGCCTGCTGGCACTGAGAACAACATCTGGACTTTGCCGGAGCCCGTGTGCTTTCGAAAGCAAACGTGAACCATGTCCAAAAGCTCCAATAATCAGTCAAAGTTGGGTTGTGAAATCAAAAGCGGCGGCTGCAGAGCCCTTGGTGCTTAGTCCTAGCTGCCATTGGGGCCGGGTTGAACCTTCTGGGAGCATCTGGGAGTTAGGTGAGTGGTTTGCTGAGACCACGGGAGCTCCTTGCTGGAAAGAAAGATGTTTTCCAGGAATGGGAGCTATTGTTGCTAGCCTCCTGCTACTGCCAAGGGCAGCCTGGGGCACCAGGATGCACACACGTGTCCTGGCTTTTTGTAAAATGCTCCATGTTTTTATGAAGCACCATATCAGTGCAGAATGGCAGTGGTTATCGTAAGAGATTAAAGGACAGGTTGATGCCCCCTGCTTCTGGCTGAGAACTCTGATAATAAGCTCTCTGGTGCCAGGAGATGAAGATTTGTAGCTTTTCCCAACCCAAATTGTGCCTACATGTGGTAGGAAACACCTCTGTCTTTTGACTTTCATCTAAGTCAGAAGAGCTCTAATGTACCATCTATCTCAAAAATGCAAGTATAAATGAAAACATAGTGGAATGTTCTAATTAGCTYTTGGATTTTTTTCCCTACAATCAGCAAAAAGTGCACACAGTATCCATGTGGTTTCAATGAAGGCTGATGGCTGCAGCCTCCTTGGTAGTCTCCTTGGAGGTTGTAGCACCTCCTTGGGTGCCAAGGCCGGAGATGCTGCTCTTTGCTTGATGCCCAGAGGATGTGGTCGGTGGGTGACAGATGACGGGGAGCCCCTGCGGCAGTGGGCTGTTGTCACGGAGACTAATGGGAAGCAGGAATCAGTCATTTTTGATGCTATAATGTGTTGGTCACTGTATAGATCCACATGCCTATCTGGAGCCCATTTGAGGGAAAGGCTGTTTATGGAGTGCTGCAACAAGCACTTGTCTAGCAACGGGGTTAATAAGTTGCATGTGTGCCAGATGGGAAGGCTGCTTCCAGGAGAGGAACAGCCAAACAGCTCTGCGCCAGGAAGATGAGAGGTGGCTGGCTCCTACGCAGCTGGCCAGGGCTGCTGGACGCTGGGCCCACAGCTACACCCTGCTCAGAGAGGCCAAAACCCAATTCCTCCAGGCTGTCTTTGGCTGGAAGCCAGTGGAGGTTCACTGTGTACATGGAAAGGCACCATCCCACGTCACCTGGGGAAGATGGACCCCACTCACGGCCCAGCCAGCACCTTTGTATGCTCCAGTCCAGCAACAAGTGCTGCAGTTTCACAAACTGCTACAGCCCTCAGCTTGCTCTTGCCCTTCTGCCTGACCCTTTTGTTTGATGGGTTTGGTTGAAGGCCATGTTCTCTGCATGTGAAGAGGTGTTTGGTGATCTGGGATGTCCTTGGCTCTAGAACAACACTTTGAGTATGGGTCATCTCACTGGGTGCAAGGCATGGACTGACGTTCACACCAGTCCTGTCACTCTGTCAGAAAACTGTTTTGGAGCAAAGCTATGACTTTGTGTAGTACAAACTATGCTGAAGAAGCCAGCACGACCTTCAAAGTCAGGGTATGCTTCAAAAGCATCTTAAAGGAAATGTTAAAAATAAGGCTGGACTGGAATCCTACTCAAGGACATCCTCAAAGAACCTGAAAGTCGTTCATGAGCATGTGTTATTTCTTCCTATTTGCCTGAGGACTTCCATGCCTCCCAAGTTTTGTGTTGTTCTAGTGCAAAATACTGCCAAAACAAACCTCTCCTCCACTTCCTTCATGCATCCCTGCATCCCTGCCATTGACAGCAGCAGCGTCGTACATCTCCTGGACGTGGTGTTGGGAAGTGGGGTACTGAGCGGGATCTCGGCACTTTTGCTCTACGCATTGCAGTTCCGAAGGAAAGAGAGGACTGGGGAGGAGTGACGTGTTCCTGAGCCAATCTCATCTCAGTGGAGCTGTATTTTACAGAGGCACCATGTGCTACAAACATGCCAGCCATCTTACAGYGTCTGCCAAAAAATAATGGTCTCTTTTGCAATATTTAGAGAACAGTGGCTCTCATTTCTGCTGCCTCAGCAGCAGCAAGACAGTGTTTCAACAGTGCTCACAGCAAAAACCTGCCTACTCTATTTTTTTCCCTTCTTAGCTGAAGCAATATTGCACTTTTTTTTTCCTTAAAGAATCAATGTGCTTCTTATGAGCCACATAAGCTTAGGCCAAGGCAGGTCTGCCCCTGAAGAGATGGTTTTTGCCATCTCCATAGAAGCAAAGTCTTGCTCAAGGATAAGGAGGGAGCCCGACGTGCCTGCCTAACTCAGGGGAAGAATCCTGCAACACACCGTGGCACTGCTGCTGTGCTCGTGTTTGCCTGGGTGCAGTCTGGCAGCCTTGGCTGTGGTGGTCTTCAACCTCTTCCAGCCCTGATCTCCTCAGGTGCGTGTCAAGCTCGCAGAGAATCAACCCGTGATACTCTTCAGGATGCAAGACCATTTCCTACTGGAAAAAAATCTTGTAACATAGAAATACCACACACCAGTTGGTGGGGCTAATTCATACAAGTGCTGAGCAGCTCCAAGCCGTCAGGCTCACCTGTAAGAGCTTGGCAGCTCTTTAAACCTATTAGCAAGCTAATCAAAGGCAGCAGACAGACATTTATCACTTTAACCCAGAAACTCCCATTTAAACTGCTAGAGAGGCAGTGCTGTAAAATCCCCTCAAATAGAGACAAGTGAGATTAGCTGTGTGTTGATYGGTTTACTTGCATTTGATGATGAGACCATGAAAACAGGTGAGGCCAATGAGGATGGTCACTTAGGGTTGCTCTAGAGAAGATAACTCACATGTTCCTGAAGTTCCTTCTCATCCTGCTTCCTAGTGGCTGGTGAAACTCTTGGAGCTAAGGAAAGATGTCAGTTGATATTAACTGGTGCAACTCCACCAGTGCCTATCCTGGCTGTTTCTTGGCAAGGCAAGTGTGATTAGTGTGCTAGTGGTATGTTGCTTGGTATTTATTTGTTTTCTCTTTCTAAATGGTTGTTTCTAGTAATAAATACATAGAGCTAATCTTTCCAGATGGGAGTCTGGGTGCCCTAGTGTAATGCAAAAWTTTATGTCTGTAAGAATGATGAGTGTTGGCCTGAGGAGCAGGAATGTCAAGTATGGGAACACTTCAGTTAAAGAGGCTCTTACAGAGGCTGCAGGAATTAAAAGCTCTTTAAGTGGATGGGGTCAATGTTTGCTCAGAAAAAAAAAAATATATATATATATATCAATTGTCTGATTATCTCTTGAAAAAATATTAACTGTTGAAAAACTCTTGAAGGCTACTGGCTTCATCTGACAGTGGTGGTAGGAAAGTGACTATTTTGCTACAGAGGATAAGATATTCCTAGTATTTAAGCATCTCCACTTCCCCGAGCAATTATTGTGCTTGACTGTGATCTCTACCCTCTGGTTAGATGCTCAGAAAATCCTAGTTGCATTTGTTCAGCTTGAGAGATGCAGCTCAGTCTCCTCTTGGGAAGGCTAAGTGCAATCTTGTTGCAGACAGAGGGTTCCCTCTGACCCTGATACTCCAAATAATGGGAACAAATGGAAAATGTGGTCTTGTATTCTGCATTTCTTAGATTTCACAGAGTTTGTAAATGTGGAAAGGAACCACCAATGAAGAAAACTTACTTTTCTTCTTGATGTCCTTCACTGTGATATACTCCAAAGGCAGCTGACCCAAGCCTGGAAAACAGCAATGCAGGCTATGCTAAGACACTTGTTGAAATGTCCATTTGCCCCTCCTTAGCTCGAGGTTTTACTTGAGACAGAGATGATAAAAGTGGTGCCAGAATTTTGCAGRGAAAGTGCCTTTCCCCAGGCAAGGACAAGAGCCTGCTGGATTCCTTCCTATCTCGTTTGGAGCAAGCAGGCTCTTTGGGGCTGTTTGTCCTTCTTCTGCCCACCCAGCTTTAAGTGGGAGGGAATGGGGAAAAGTTCTGCCTGTTGCAGACCTGAGGTTTGTACGATGGTGATGTGATGAACATGGTACTGGGGAATTTTGCCCCTCAAGGGGAAGAAGGGGACTACCCAGCATGGAGCACTTGTCAGAGCAGTGTCCTGTTCCCAGTGCTTTTCYTGGACCATCACCAATTATCCACTGCTCCTGGCCTCTGCAGCAGTGTCTGCTTCCCACTTTCTTGGGTCACCCACAAGACATGGCCTGGCTCTTCCTTCAAGACATGGCCTGGCTAAAGCTGTGTCCCTAGACCCTAAATCTCTCCACTCGCCCATGCTACCAAAAAAGCTTCAGATTAACTGTCTTTCTTTCCTTCTCTCATTTCCCAAAAAGTACTTCATGAGCTCCAGAAGAGACTGAATTCCGCCAGGAGGGTTGGCTGGTGCCACTGTGGCTGCAGGCAGTGGCAATCTCACTCAAAGAATGGGGCTGCTGCAGAGGAACGTGATCCTGCTCTTACATCAGTGGCTCTCCCTTATTTTAGGCAGTTTCCCCAAGCCCATCTCACAAAAGCACTCGTGCTGTCCAAAGCAAGATCCCTCCGGGCCTCTGTAARCACAGGATTTTCCTAACACATGAGATGCTTGGACATGTGCTCACAAACCCGGAGAAATGGAAGTTAATAAGGAACAAAATATTCAAGGATTTCTTCAATCTTCAATCAAAATCTTCAAGGATTTCTTATTCTTTTTCCTTTGTGCCAAGTATTGTCAAGCCTATGTGCGGCTGCAAGGTATCATGAAAAAAAAAAAAAAGTCCGTCCTCCAAGGAGGATGGAGAAGGCTGGGTGGGATCACAGGGTCTTTGGAGCACGGAGCGCCATTTTGGTCACTGGATGTCACGTGGGCGGGATGGAGCTTTTGGATGTGGATTGTACTTGGACGTATTTTCAAAGTTTAGGCTCCCAGMAGCGCCAAGCTCCCCAAGGGTTTGCTGCACTTCCTAGCACGTTCTTTGGACCTTTCAGAAGACACCAGTGCCACCAAGAGTGGAGGTCCCTGGAAGAACCACCTGGTCCTGTGACTGCAGCCAAGCTGGAGTGACCCATTTGCATGTGTCTCAAGAAAGGAACAAGCTCTTCCTTGTCACACAGCAGGGTACAGCTTTGGGTCTAACCATTGCCACAACATTTGTGCTGCTAGTGACCCTGCTTGTCCCACAGTGCTAGAGAGCTTGACGATGCAAAGCATGGGGGCTCCAGCCCTTTGTTCAGCAGCTCTTAGCGACCCCCGAGCACATCTCGGGCCAGTGTCTGCAGAACTGTAGCATGACATTAACAAATGACTTTTCCTAGAGCCTCTGAGATATTTGCCCTGACCACATGGCAAAAGCCTTGCGCAATCTCTYTGTAAGCTGTGTTGCCAAAGGCATGGCCCTGGGTTGACTGTCTCCTCATGGACTCTGTGTCCCTCTGGATTCATCTGCAGGGATGTGATATTTTTTTCTCAAATTAKGCCTAAGTGTATTAATCAGTAGGGGAAAAGACCCCTTTGAAGCCACCCCCTTGCATTCCTTTCCTGTGATAGTTCATTTCTAAGGCATGTCTTGCTGTGTGCCGTGTCCTGCAAGACTATTTCTGCATCCATTTCCACTTGTGATGTGTTTATACCCTTGCTATGTGTCCATGGCTGTTTGAGTCTCTCCCTGCTGGAGCCTGCAGCTCACAGGAGGACTTTGTTCTCTATCAGCACGGGTGGCTGCAGGCATGGGGCAGCTGGCCTGGATGCTCCAGGGGCAAATTCCTGCTGAAACCCTCCCATCTGCCAGCAGCTTTGGCTACCTTTGGGGCAGATAGCCAGCAGGCAAATAAAACAGTGCCCCAAGGTCTCTGGTTCCCCTGAGCTTCTCAGAGCAGGGGGAGAGAGCCTGTGGGCTCAGGATGCCCTTGGGGCCACCACAAGTGCCAGGTCTCACTGTCCCTGCAGGCATGAAGCTGCTTTGCTCATAGAAGAAAAACGCTGTGATCCTTTTCCCYGTGCCTTGGTCTCGGCTGGTGTTTTGCTGCTCCCGTGTCCGATGTTGGCCASATGCAGCCCAGCCGGCTGTGCTGGCCACTCCTCCCCCAGCAAGCTCCGGTTGTGCAACTGCCGTGGGACGGCCGCTCGGTCTCTCCCCGCCGGGGCCAGCATTCCTGTGCGCCTATAAATCCCGCGTGCGACTGCCGCCACAGGCCCACGGAGAAGGCCCGGGAGGTAAGGCGGGAGCTGGTGGCTGCGTCCTGCAATGGGGATGATGTTCTTGGCTGTGCTGCTGTGGCCGGCACACCTGGGGTACCAGGAGGTGCTCACGCAGGCATCTCCAGGGCGAGTTGTCGTTGCTTCGCGTGTGGGAAACGCCGGCAGTGGCGGGCGCAGGGCTGGCGGGAGCCGCCTGCCTTGGCTCCGCAGTGGGTGGATTTAAACTGAGTGATGTCCCAGCAGGCACTGTTTTTTTTTCCTTATTATTATTTCCTTTAAGCGAGGCTTTGGCACAGCCCTGAGGTTTAGCACACAAATATTTGCACACCTCATACAGAGGTAGCGCTTAGACGCCGCCGTGGACAGAGTCCATCCGTAGCCGCAGGCTCAAGGATCTGCGCCAAGGCCGTCGCAGGGGCAGGCAGCGCCGTGACCATGCGGGTGGCAGTGGTGGGCGCCGGGGCGAGCGGCCTGGCAGCCCTCAAGTGCTGCCTGGACGAGGGGCTGGCAGCCACCTGCTTCGAGCGCAGCCAGGACATCGGCGGGCTCTGGCGCTACACGGTGAGTAGCCGYCGGGGTGGCCGTGCTGGGGCACTGATGGTGGGGACACGGGGTGCTGATGTTGCTGGTGGCACCAGGAGAGCATTGAGGAGGGCCGGCCCAGCCTCTACGCCTCGGTGGTGAGCAACACGTCCAAGGAGATGTCGGCCTTCTCGGACTTCCCCTACCCYGAGGACTTCCCGGTGTTCCTGCCCCACGCGCGCCTCCTGGAGTACCTGCGGCGCTACGCGGAGCGCTTCGCCCTGCGGCAGCACATCCAGCTCGGGGTGAGCAAGGACGGCCGTGGGTGGCGGGACGGGGCCGCGCGCGGTGCCGCCGGCTCGCTCGGGCACCACTCCTTCCCGCAGACCACCGTGGTGAGCGTCAGGAAGCGGCCCGACTTTGCCACCAGTGGCCAGTGGGATGTGGTCACGGAGGCGGGCGGCACGCGCACCTCGCACGTCTTCGACGCCGTCATGGTCTGCAACGGCAACTTCTGGGATCCATCGCTCCCGCTGCACGCCTTCCCCGGTACGGCCACCTCCRCGTCGCTGCCGTCACAGCAGCGAGCAGTGAACCCCACTTCCCAACCTAGCCATGGTTTCACTTTTATTCTTTAGCACCTTTGGAGCCACTCGTGGGACGGGARAAGTGAGGGTAACGTGCCCTCCACAGAGCTGAGCTCTTTGGGCAGCCTGCCCTTGACCTCTTTGACCAAGTTTAAGGACTTTTGGGGACTCTTCTGTTCCGCCACAAAAGAAAAGCTCATTTTGGAGGTTGATATGTCAGACTTTCAGAGCTCAGTGCTCATTTTGGGGTGGAAATGCCTTTCCTGTGCGTATGGGATGGACACCTGGACTTTTCCACGTCCCAAGTGGTTGCTGAGAGGAATTCTTTGCTCTTGCCATCTGGATTGTTTCCGTACCACTTATCCCTATGAAAATTGCTAATTCGGATGTGTGCTTGCTAAAGTAATTATTATATATATATACATATAAATGTGTGTGTGTGTATATAAATATTTTTTTTTTTTTTTTTTTTTTTTTTTTTTTTTTTTTCCCCAAGGCATTGAGAAGTTTCAAGGCCAATACTTTCACAGCCGGCAGTACAAGCATCCAGATGTGTTCCGGGGCAAAAGAGTCCTTGTAGTCGGCATGGGCAACTCAGGAGTGGACATTGCCGTGGAGGCCAGCCGCGTGGCTACCAAGGTACCAAGTAACACTGACTTTGCTGGCCACAGCCAAGGGGTGCAGTAGCTCTGTTTGCAAGCTGCCAGCACAGGAGAAATGAGCTGGAAACCTCTCAATTCACCCTCAAGGGTCCAGATGGTATCTCTGGATCCATATTTTTCTGTTGGAAACCTTCCCCAAAAGCTAAGTGACTGCTCTCTTCTCTCTTGCTTCACCCTGATCCTCTGCTGCCAACAAATCTTAAATATGCCCTTGCAGCTGTATCATCATATAGCTGTCTGTGCTGTGCTTTGCCTGGGGTTACTTTAAAAAGGCAACGAAACAAGTTCCTCATCTGAATTTTTGATTCTCTGCTATTTCCCAGGTGACACTTAGCACTAGCCGAGGTGCCTGGGTGATCAGCCGCGTGTTTGACCATGGCTACCCGTGGGACATGGTTTTCAACACTCGCTTTATGAGCCTGCTTAGAAACAGCCTCCCCGGGCCCCTTGCGCGGGGCTTGATTAGCCACAGGGTGAACCGGTGGTTTAAGCATGAAAACTATGGCCTGCAGCCGGARAAAAGGTACTTCTCAGGGGGCTTCCCTCCAGCGTGGTCTCAAAGGGGTTGTGTTGCAGGGGATGGGGAGAGGTCCTTCTGCTGGAGCCACACTAGCATAGGAACAAAAGCCACATGTGTGGGAATGTGCAGACTGCAGTGCTGGGGATGATCTACGGTGAAGGTCATAGACCACCATTGGCTGGAGAAGGTAAGTTCTAGTCCTCTTAGGTCAGAGAAAGTATTCTCCGGGAATATCCAGGTGAGTTTTTCCTCAAGAGATTCCCCAGAAAAAGAAGAGGAAGGAGACTTAAGGCATGGATCTGTTCTAAGTAGGGTTTAAGGATAACTGGAAGAACGGRAAAGAATGAAGGAGATATTCACATGAGCAACTCAGGCTGTAGGACAGGGTGACATTATTGGAAGCGTAAAATGCTCTATTGATTGGAGAGCAGGAAGGCAGCACTCTTTGTCTTGGAGGACACAGGGCTGTGAGATTGGAGACCCCAGAGTCAGGGTGAACGTTACAGCACGGAGCTTGTTTGTGGTCTCTCAGTGTTCAGAGTCCCTCAACCTCTCTGCAGCTACCCAGTGCGAGAGCCTGTGTTGAATGATGACTTGCCAAGCTACATCATCACGGGGAGGATCACCATAAAGCCAGGCGTGAAGGAATTCAAGAAGAACTCAGTTGTTTTCTACAACTATCCTGAAGAGGAGCCTGTTGATATTGTCGTCTTCTGCACAGGCTACAATGCCACTTTCCCCTTCCTTGAAGAGGCAGATGTCAAAGTGGAAAACAAGCATGCGTCCCTCTACAAATATGTGTTCCCAACTCATCTGCAGAGGCCCACTCTGGCTGTCCTTGGGCTAATAAAGACCCTTGGAGCCATCATGCCTGTGGCAGAAATGCAAGCACGCTGGGTGACCCGGGTCTTCAAAGGTAGGAGAGTAACATGAGCCTTCCTTTGCACCACAACACACATTTGGCACACCTTTTCCTTTGCATGCACCAAGAAGGACTTCTGTGCATGGGGACGTCATGATTAAGGTTAATTTCYCAGCGGATGAGGGACCATTTCTAGGGCTCAGACTTAGCTCGTTCCAAGTATTTCACTTCAGCTGGGCTGCAGCCGTGTGACTGCATACTTGATCCAAACTGCATGCAAGTTCATGGGATCCCCTTTGAATCTCCCTGAATTGCTGTTGWTGCCTGTTCAGCTAATGCCTTTTACCCTGTCTGCTGGAAACTAATTTCTACAAACATGTAGAGTTGGTTCCACGCAAAATTCCCTACTGCTGAGCTAAACTATAGAGACTGTCTATTCCTGCTCTTCTGGGGAAGGCCTTCCCATATTTTGCATCATCAAATGAGTCCACATGTTTCCCCAGAAGTTAGACTTTGCAAGGTGTTCTGTTCTCTAGGCTTGTGYCAGCTGCCTCCTCGGTCTGCAATGGAAGCTGAAGTAATGAAGAGGAGCAAAAGCGAAGTCTGGTAAGACAGACCTCACAGTCCTAGTCTCTTTTGGTGGAAGTGTCATGGTGGATAGGTCTCTAAAAGCTGATTTTATTTGGGGCAGGATTTGGGACCAGGCAGCCTCTGATACCCATTCTTCATGCCCGATTCTGTGCTAAGAGGGATGTCAATTGTGCTCAAACGTAGTAATAAAGCCAACGAAGGATGTTTGTTTTCCATTCCCTCTGCAAACCGAGCTAATGCCAGTCTCTCCCCACCCTATTTTCTCCAAATCATTAAGGTTCGGCCTGTTCTTTGATGAAGTCCTCAAAATTGACTGGATAGTGTACTTGGACGAGATCGCCTCCTTCATCGGTGCGAAGCCCAGCGTGCTGGCGCTGCTCTTCAGCGATCCCAAGCTGGCCTTCACCATCTTCTTTGGCCCCTGCACCTCCTACCAGTTCCGTCTGCAAGGTCCTGGGCGCTGGGATGGGGCACGACAAGCCATCCGCACCCAGTGGGACCGGATGCTGAAGCCAACGAGAACCAGAGCCACCAGTGTCTCTTCCAGCCCCTGGCCTTCTCTCCTTACTGTGTTTGGCTTTCTCCTGCTTATGGCAGCAGTGGTCTTTGCTTTCCAGTAACTCTGATGTGATTAAAAAGCCTGACTGTCTTTGTCCTGGGGAATGTAAACTGGGATCATATGATGCCATGGGGTGGGCCAGGGCATGGCACGTATGGGATAGGACCAAAGGGATTTCAACAGACAAGGGGAACAGGTTTAAAGCTTTAACTGATAGCACTAAACCCTTTCCCCTCCARCTACCCCTTTGCAGGTGGGTTTAGCTGCTGAAGCTGGAGGTACCAGCCCCCCACGGGTCTTTTTCACTCCTCTCAGCCCACGTGGCTGCTGGTGTGATCAGCTCTCACTAACGTGCTCCTCAATGCCTACCTGCAGGCCCCCAGCTCAGCTCCTTGGCCAGACCAGTGGTGGATCAGTTCCTGGGCTGTGGGCACGCATCCTATAGCCCTCTGTCCTGAGGCCTTTTATGTAGCACCAGAAATTAAGCTGTAGTGGGCACATTCACYCCCACCAGCCTGTTGGTTAGCATACATGCAAAAGGAGGACGTTTTAATGAATTCTTGGAAATATCAAGCATAGACACGGCACAGGGCAGCCAATTAGAGCAGGATGGGGCAGGCCTTGTGCACAGATGCCACCCTGAGCTGCTTTGGGAGTCCTTGCAAGCTCATCCCTCTGATGCAGCTGAACACTGGCCTGCCCATGAGCCTGGCCTTGAGCCCCTGCCCAGCTTGGGACAGGCTCTTGTCCCGTTTCCTGCTCCGTCTTGAAAGAGACAGAGAAGAATCACTCCTAGACCCCTCTCCGTAGGACCAGTCCCATCAAGGAGGAATGTCTGTGCCCGGCCCCGGCGCACACGAATGTCGTCGTCGTTCCCAGCCCTGCCGCAAGGAGCCCAGAGCTATTTACCCGTTTCCTGCTGACGGGCTYGGGCGAGCCGAGCTCTGCCCAGACAGAGAGCTTTCCTCCCCGGGAACGCTTTGAAATGCAGCAGCAGAGGAGAGCGCGGGAGCGCGGGGGTAAAGGTTGGCGGTCTGGGAAGGAAAGCGCGCCGGGACTTTGTGGACTTTAGCTTGTCGCTTAAATCCGTGGCCCAAGAAACTCCAAGCAAAGGGACGGACGAAGCCCGCACGGCAAAGCACAGCATTGCCCTGGAAAGGTTTGTTTCAAAACTCACGTTTTGCTTGCTTTCAGGAGAAGGAAATAAAATAGAATTAGTGCTTTGTTGCCTTGGAGTTTGTCCTGGGGTTTGGACACCAGCTTTGGGCTGATGCAATGTGAATGTGAGGCCAGGCTGCGGGTCCAGCCAGCCCCAGGGCTCCTCTTGCAAACAAAACAGGCTGCAGACAGCCCTGAAAAAGAGGTGACGTCCAWCAGCCAAGACACGTTGCTCCCCTTTCCTGGAGGAAACAGCTGGGTGTCCTGGGAAGTTCTTGGAAAGGGGATCTGAGGACTGCTGCAGGCTGGAAGTTACTGAGCATTGGATACCCAGTTATCTGAATATCTCTCTGCTGTGTAGCTGGTGGTAGCCGAACCTCACACTATGGCTGGCAGAGCAGGGGGCTGAGAAAGTTCACGAGATCCTTCTGGTTCTTCTACTTTTTCCGGGAAGGTCTCTCTAGATTTTTGCATTTTCTTGCTTAGATTAACTTATTGTTTGCCTTGAAAGTTATAGATTGCGGCCTTTTGAGACGTTGCAGTTTAAGGTTTTGCTACCTAATCAAATGTAACAAATCTGGGTTAATTTTTTCTCTAGTTTCTTTGCTTTGGTGTTAAGTGAGGTGTAGCACAGCCTTCAGCTTGTGTGTCCTGAGGTCTGGATTCCTCCAGATGCTGAATTCCTGGGTTTCTACCTTTTCCTTTCCTTTTTACTTTTCTGTATTTTGTAMCGACCAGAAGCTCTTCCATTACTGTTCCTGACTTTAGATTTGTTAATCTCCATTCCCACTCGGAGTCGGGCATTACAAGATTTTTAAGTTTTTTTAATTTTTTTCCCAAAGAAAATGTTATTTAATTGAAAATTAAAAGAAAAGGAAGAAAATGAATCAACTTAGCTGAAAGTATTTTTAGGAAATGTTTCCAGAGTGCAATTTGCTCAGACGACACTGCCTGCCATGAACTGTGGGGCTCTCTCTTTGCCTGGGTTGTGTTGGCGATGGGTGAAACTCTTTTTCTAGAGAGAAGAGTCCAGGTTTCCTGGCTTCACGAGATGACCACCTCCAAGACATCACCCTGCCCATTCTTGTGAAAATGAAACACAGAAATAAGGGCAGAGAAATAAGGTCTTTAAAGCACCTTCAGATGAAGCTTTATTGTCTGAGTTTTGGGGAAGTCTGATGCACATGTGCTCACCCTGCAGGGACCTACAGGAGATGTGGCTGCCCCCATAATGGTGAAGCAGGATGGGGGCCCTGGCCAGGCTTTCCCAAGGCAGCTCCAGGGAGGGAGCTGAGCCAGCAGGGCCACATCCAGAGCCCTGGAGGGGCAGCTGGGGCAAGGCAGCAATGCAGAGCAATGCAAAGAGGTCCCTGAGTCGAGACAGCAATTGCAGACCAGCTGCTCCAGAAACAGCTTTAGAAATGAGGAGTTCTCCTGTTCTTTTCCATCCATCTAGTTTAGCAGGGAAGCTCTCCAGAAGCAGGGTGATGCCTAAGAGTCAATGCTAAACATGACCCTAAACCAATCAGATGCAATGATCATCACCTCTCTTTCCATGCAAAAAGAGTAAGTAAGGGAAAGGAATAAACAGAGAAAAGAATTACTATGTGCTTTCAGTGAGTGAGCCTTCTGGCCTGGCACTCCTGCTTGTCCTCCTGCAGGACACCATGGTGCGGCGCGTGGCCGTAATCGGGGCCGGAGCCAGCGGGCTGGCTTCCATCAAGTGCTGCCTGGATGAAGGGCTGGAGCCCACCTGCTTTGAGCAGAGTGAGGACATCGGGGGGCTCTGGTGCTATGCGGTGAGTGGACTCTGCCTGCACAAGGTTTTTCCCTGGTTTTACTGCWATCTCACTTACCTTTGAAGATGAGGGAGCCACTGTGGCCTCTGGGACTTTCTCTGTCCCAGGAATAGGGCTCTGCCCCCGCTTCCAAGGGCAGGAGGGAATGGGGGAGCCGAAGCTGGGGTTTCCAGGTGCCTCTGCCTCCTGGGATGGCCACACAGGACCAGGCATGAAAGCTGACAGAACTCAACTCACCTTGTCCTGGACCTATGAGTGGAGATGGTGGGAGCCATGAATGGAGATGGTGGGAGTTAGTGGGTTAGTTAATTCATCATGTCCATGTCMCTCCGACAACCCAGAGGAACTAAGCCCTTAGCTGTCCCTCTGCCAYGTGCACCGCTTGCTTCCCACAGGACACAGTGGACTGCAAGAGGACCAGCGTGTACCGCTCTGTCATCACCAACACCTCCAAGGAGATGTCCTGCTTCAGTGACTTCCCCTTCCCRGATAACTTCCCCAACTTCCTACCCCACCACCGGCTCCTGGAGTACTTCCGCATGTACGCTCGCCACTTCGGCCTCCTGCAGCACATTCGGTTCCAGGTGAGCCAGGGTCCCGGTGTGTCACAGCTACCAGGGATGGCCCAGAAGGAGCTGCAAACATCGGGGCATGGCAGATGCCATGGGTTAATAGTATACATGAAGTTCATAAGGACTGTGGATCTTCTGCAGTTTGTATATAAGGTTGCTTGAACAGAGGCTGCAACACTCGGGGACAGTCCTTATCTTTGCCAGGGGACAGTTTCAGTGCTGGATTTAATAACCTCAGAGGCAGAATGAGGCTCCCTGAGGMCCCAGCCCTGCCTAGGCAGGACCTTGGGGATCAAGACACAGTCCTTGACTGTGATTTTTCTTGGGCTTCGATGCAAGACAACAGTTTGCAGTGTGAGGAAGCGCCCCGATTTCTCTACCTCGGGCCAGTGGGATGTCGTCACCGAGACCAAAACAGGCTGGGAGTCGCACGTCTTCGACGCTGTCATGATTTGCACTGGCCGGTACCAAGAGCCCCTTTTGCCCTTAGCTTCTTTTCCAGGTAAGCCCTGCCTTTGGTGAGCTTGCAGGGGCCGCTTCCATGAGGAATATGGTGTTAGGAGAGGGGGAAAACCAGGCAGAGCGTGGTTGCTCTTGGCAGCACCCAACAGAGCTAAGGTCCTTGAGCACTTGGCTCTGCTGCCCAGATGGAGTTGGGAGGCAGAACGAAGGGGTAGGAGGGTTGCAAGATGAGCACCGGCTGGTAGGAGACGCTCTCTGCCTAGGTCTCGAAACGCGCTTTAGAGGCCGGTACCTGCACAGCAAGGAGTACCGAGACACGGAGGGTTTCCAGGGGAAACGCGTGCTCGTGGTGGGCCTCGGGAACTCGGGCGGCGACGTCGCGGTGGAGCTGAGCCGCGCGGCTGCGAAGGTACGGCCCCGGCACGGCGCCGAGCCAGCGTGCGAGCCGCGCAGCTCCTCCCGGGACACGGTGCAGCCAGAAGCAAAGTGTACCCCACACCAGTAACGGTGGACGTGTCCAGGGAAGGCGTTGCCTAATGGCCTTCTAACTAAACGGACCTTCGAATTGCGGGCCGGCAAAGCGAGCGCCGCAGTTCCTGGTGAGTTCAGGCCCGCGGGGAGGCAGGCAGAGTGGCTGGGTTGTGGTTGCTGGAAGGCTGTACAAGGCAGCAGACACCAAGGCTGTGAAAGGCACCGGCTCATCTGGACACCTTCCTCTCTCAAGAGAGTTAATTCAGTTCTCTGCTACCCAGCTCTTGGGCTGGGATCTGTCATTGGGGGCAAAAATGGAAATTTTGACCTTTGAGCAAGAAATGGTCAATCCTGCCTTCTTTCCCAGGTGTTTGTCAGTGCCAGGAGCAGCACGTGGGTGGTCAGTCGTATTTCATCTCACGGTTTCCCTCTGGACATGGTCACTAGAACACGCCTAATATACTTTCTTGAATGGCTTCTCCCATCAGCCATCATGAAAAGGATCAGGTTTGGGAAGTTCAACTCATGGTTTAACCACACAAACTACGGCTTGGCTTCTGTTCAAAGGTATTTCCTCCGATTGCTTTGTTGGTTCATTGGTGGGTTTTAGTGAAGGGAAATGTCCAATCGAGC